CGTGAGAAGAGAAAGAGAGAGAGAGAGAGAGAGAGAGAAGTCAATCCCTTCCCAACCGTGTTCGTAGGAACCTGCATATCTTGATTTCCCGACCGCGAATACCGGTATCGGGGCGCCGATTTTATTTTACGCGCGGTACTCGTCGACGATCCCATACGATCCGTCGAGAGCAAGATACGAGGAGGGAGAACGAAGGGGGGAGAGCAGCGATTCTTCCCCGAGACGAGCGCGTCCGCCCCGCGAGAAATGACGCGAGCAATGCGCGTACCGCAGAAAGGTTGCGTGCACCGAGGGCGACCGGCGCCGTTCTTCGGCGAGATAAAATCCCGCGGAGGGAACCGCGGGGCGCGATCGACCGTTCGAGATTACACGCTGATGAATGAGCGTTAAAATCTCGGACGGTTTGTACCTATCGATCGACCACATCCGCGAACTTCCTTCTGCTTTTCGTCCCGAACCGGAGAGGAACCCCTTGAGCCTCGCCCAGGGCTTCCTGCGCGCGTCCTGCGAACGAGATGCAAACTTCTAACGTTGATAACACGTCGATTCGCCGTGCGAATGGATAACGTCCGAGGTACCCGAAACGTCTCTGTGGGGCAAAGCGACATTCCTCGATGTCGATTCACTCCTGACATTTGTTGCGCGACATTTCGCCGTGACAAGCGATTTATTGAACGGCATGAATCTTTGAGGGCCCGCCGTCGCGCCCGTTCGCACCCGATAAATCGCGCGTCCGTGAGAAGTGTCGCGAGATAAATGTCGGGTCGAATTTACGCGACAGATTCAATTACTCTGGAATACCGCGAATCGTCGGCGGCGCGGTGTACCCGGCTGGTATACGGCCGTTATTCGATGGCGAATAATCGCCCGAGCGCGTCGTCTCGTTTCTGCAACGCCGATATCGCCACCCAGGCCCAGACTCGAACGGAAGACACTCGCTGCCGCGTCATAACGCACGGTCGCTGTCGCGATCGATAGAAATTGATGATTTTAATTAAGTTGCGCGCAACAATGTTCGGCGTGAATCGCGTGAGAACGCGCTATTAATATATCGCCGCGGCGTATAAAATAATCGCGAGCTCTTCCGAAACGCTTTCTCCGGCGCTTCGATGGTAATTCATATTCATCAACATCAATTTGCTATACACAAAACACGGACGTGTACAGATTGCGCGCGATGTGATGCGAGCGCGATACGTACGAACGGATAGAGCGTTAATGCATCTATATTATAAAAGGCACTGTCATTAAAGCTTAATAGATTCGGCAAAGCGAGATCAATTTCGAAAATTCGCGCCATGTCTTTAATCTTGTCCGTCCTCTTTTATTTTGCTCGTGAGCAGAAATTGAAGGGGGGAAACTCCTTCGTTTAAAGAAGAGAATCAATTAAACGTGTCCAAGCGAGACGGAAATGTGAAGACGATCATTTTTCGGAATCTGTGCCTGCGCGACCCTTTTCTAAATCCGCGTTTCAGTTTTGCTGTCCCATGGGACAAACGTACTCCAGCTTCCACAGCTTGCAGTTAATTATATGAAATTATTATTTCGCCCGGTCATTTGGTTCCCTCCTTGAAGACTTATCTCGGGGTTTAAAAAATACGAAGAACGGCCGCGTTATGATAAAATTACGCAACGTACGGCCGCAAATTGTGCATCACGGCGATCTTTCGACGTCGCGGAGTAGTAACGGCGAGGCGAAGGTACGCGCGATAATATGTATGCCTCTCGACTCTTTATATTCCTGAGAAAACCGCGGCACACCTGCTACGGAAGCATGATTCAACCGCGTCCAGGCACTGGAGGGCTCGTATCGCCGTCGGTACTAAAAGGCCGGCCACGAGTAGACAAGCGCAAAACGCGTATGTACATGTACCACGTCTAGCCATTTCAAATCTGATTTATTCGCGGCCGCCTTGTGTCTTGAGAGCCGGTGCACTCGGAGAAAGTGGGCGTGAGGGGGGGGGAAACAGCGCGAGAATCCAATGAAACCGCGGGAGAGGCGGGAGGAGAGATGAAAAACGGACGCGAAGCGGGGAGATAAGCGAAGATACATTCGGACATAAAATATATTTAACCGTTATATATTATCATTAAGGGTATATCGTACATCGGGATCTGAGACGCGTTATCGTTCCGATCGTCTCGCTGGAAAGTTAATGTGACTCTCGTCCGTCGGTTAAGCATCCCCGGAATAGTGAATCACGCTCCGCCTCTCCCCCGGTCCGCAGAGTTTCCTTGGACAAAAATGCCGGGGAGAGATTGAAGAGGATCATTCGCGCTGTAAATTTCCAGTACAATATTAATATCCCCGACAACCGATTCGCTCAAATTGCAAACTTCTAAAAGCCCGCTCGAACGTGAAAACATAAATTTCTACTGTCCGCGTACCTTGACGTCTACGAGAAACTGTTGATTGTCAATTTCTTGAGGATTACTCGTTTCTCGACTGCTTTTCCAAGTGAGAGCGACTTGTCCCTTTAGAAAATCCGTGGGTGAAAAATAGTACAATCCGTATACTTTTCACAGCATCAATCTCTCTCAACGGCATTTCCCTCGGCATGAAGATAACGATCGCGTTTTAGTATCGCTGAGCAAACGTTTGCTAAGACGAAAGATCTTTAAACACCTCGGAATCCTCCATTGTTTTGTTTGACTCTTCACCAAGCTTCCGCGCGCAAACATTGTCCAAGATTTGTACATATCAACGCAGAAGCGCGAATATTACTCTGCCCCAGCAAATTCGATTTATCAACGACATTTGGAACGTACGGACACGTTGATTTGTTTGAATTGGACCATGTTGGGGCATGTCGCGCGGCATATCTTGCACCACGGAGACGCTCGTGAGATAAATCGGCCCGGACGCATTCGGTCCTAAGGGCGGCCATTAGGAATTCGG